TTTAATATGTCTATATAGTTTTTATAAATTTTTATTTCAGTTTTAATTTTTAGATATTTTAGTTCTTAAGTTAAACTAAGTTAAACTACGGTTGCCTTGGCAACTAGCTGATAAAAAATATGTTTAAGGCTTTTTTATATTAAGGCCTTTTTATATTTGTTTTTCAGTTAAAATTTTTAAATAGTTTTTTTTATGTGATGAGATTTTTATGTGTTTTTGTTAATTTTATTTCAGTTTAGTTATTTTAGTACTTCAATTTAAACTATACAAAAATGTGAAATATTGCCTTGGCAACTAGTTGAAATAAAATAAGATTGTGAACTTGTGCATGGAATTGTGTGTGAATATGATAATCATTAAATACCATAATATCACCATCTAAAACCGTTATTGCACCATAGTCCACAATATAATATATACTTTTTTAATTCATCAGCAAATTGATTCCAGATGGATAAAAGTCTCACCTTGGAAATATGTCAGATTGTGGAAGTAAAATGGACTGCAAATAGCATTTAATGTGGACTGTATGTAGCTAGGACAGGATTTAACGGGTTAGTTTGAGTTGCGGTTGGTTTTAACTAGTTGTGTTTGTGTGCAGGGTTTGCCTGGACCCCCGGGTGAGAAGGGAGAGACTGGTGACGTCGGTCAGATGGTACACATCCACATCCATACAGTCATTTTGATCAAATGTAATTGTATTTTAATAGAAACTGAGCTTTCTTTCTACATTTTCTTGACTTTTCTCTCAGGGTCCACCCGGTCCTCCTGGTCCCAGAGGCCCCTCCGGACCCCCAGGAGCCGATGGACCACAGGGACCTCCGGGAGGAATCGGCAACCCAGGAGCCGTGGGAGAGAAGGTGATCCGCATCAGCACCATGAACAAAACACTATCATTTCATTTTAATTAGAAACCAACGTCCTTAATGATCTGAGGGAGAATGTGCCAGTAATGATCCCAGTGTGTGTGTGTGTGTGTGTGTGTGTGCGTGTGCGCGCTCAGTCAGTTCAGGATCTGCGTGTGTCTCATGACTGAGGTTTCCTGGAGCTTCTCTCTAGAGTTAAAGCTCTATGTGTTTGCTCGTGTGTCTGTGAGTGTTTTTGTAAGTTAAATACTTCTCAGTTTAATTAGCAGACTGTAAGTAAGCCATTGATTGATTATTATCCTCAAAAAGTGTAACAGTGTCTCTGATGCTTGGTTTGAGCTTCACAACCAGCAGCATTAGCCTAACCAGAGTTATGAGGACAGACAGCTTTGTTCATTCTAGCTAAAATGATTTCATTTTATTTAATGAGTAGGCAATGACTGTACACCGTTTGGATGTCAGTAGATATGGACACATTCTAATTAGAGTGCTTTGCAGTAATAATATTACATTTGTATATATAGTTTATTATAATATTTTTTAAGTAGTGACTAAACAACTAGTAAATGTATCAATAGCTTTGTTTATTCTAATTAATTTATTAATAATATTAATAATAAATGTATATGTAGTATATAATGATGATATTATTAATAACAATAATTTTAAATAGTGACTATACAACAAGTAAATGTTGTATAGAGTGATTTATTGTTGTTAATAATAAAAATAATAATATAATAATAATAATAATTTCATTTCATTTTTAAGCATGTGTACTATAAACAGTGTAGATGTATCAATAGCTTTGTTAACTCTAATTAGAGTGATTTATTATTATTAATAAAAATAAATCTGTATATATAGCATATAATAATCATAAAAATTTATTTTAATTTAATTAGTAAGCAATGACTAAACGAGCAAATGTATCAGTAATTTTGTTAGTTGTAATTAATGATTTATTATTATTATTATTAATAATAATAGTAACAAGAAGAATTGAATGTAATTTAAGCAAATACTATAAACTGTGTAGATGCATCGATAGCTTTGTTAATTCTTATCTGAATGATTTAATAATAATAATAATAATAATAATAATAATATAGCTGAAAATCTTTCAGACATTTCTGACATTTCTGACATTTGCCATAAAAATAGACATTTTTAACAAAATAATGCAACATAATTAAAAATGCAAAATGTTAAGAGATATTAATAGTCAGTGAGTTTCTCAGTTTATTCGCCTTTAGCAGATGTGTGAAGTTCATTTTAAACTGTGACAAGATTTTTTTTAAATGTGCATTAAACATGCTTTACTTGTATGCTTTACTTGCAAAATTCAACAAGTAACACGTTGCTTTACTTCATGCTTTACCTTCAGTGCAGTGATCTTGAGTGTTTTTCTCTGGAGTGTGTGTGTTTGTGTGTGACTGAGCTGTGAGTGTCTGTATCTTTGTGTAAGTCTCAGCAGGGCGTGCGCTCGCATGACTGCGCTCCATCACCTCAGCACTGTCAATATTATTTAATACGGCGCTTGAGCACTATTGTTCTGCATCGGAACCAAGGCCCCGTTTCAGTTGTGCTTAGAGAGGAGTTTTGCCCAGAGAAACACAGACGAGGGGAGGACTTAAAGAAAACAGATAAAGATTATAGAATGAGACCTGGAGACAAGGCTGTTTGCTGTTAGTCTGGAAGATTTACCTCAGCACTTCACACTGACAGACCTCTTATCCCACTACAGAGAGACAGAGATACCTCAGTCTGACACACACACACACACACACACGACTGAAGCAGTTCAGAGTGGCTGAGAGACTCTTAATCCCTCAATATGGCAGACGTGCAGAAGTATCCACACACACACACACACTTAAACAGCCTCTACAAGCACAGAAAATAACTCATAAACATGTTTATAAGCACGAGAGAAAGCACTGGGTGAGGATGGATGATATTGAATGTTTAGTCACAAACTGATTGATTTAATAGTGTTTTATTAGTGGTTTGCTAAGGGAAGCGTCACTATTATTCCTTTTTGAATTAATAGCAGTTGATACTGGGATATTTGCATGCTCAGTTTGATTACCATCATCTCACTTAAAGTTAATCTTTGAAAGCACTAATAATTTAATAAAACTTTAAAAGCACAATTTAAAAACACTATAATTTCTAAGTGCATTATAATGTTGTGATGCGTAAATTCACTTGTTACATAAAACAATTGTTTTTATTTAGATGAAATACTATTGCATTTTAATTATGGTGATTTATTTTATTTATTTACATGTTGGTTTTTGTTTCTTTTTAAATTATTATCAGACAAGATAGTAGAGAATTCTAATTTCATCTAGTTATATATTTTATATTTTTGTTCAGACAAAATAGTACAGAATTGATTCATTTTAAACTTTATTTTTAGACAAAATAGTATACAATTTTAATTTCAGCCATTTACTGACTATCAGTCATTGCATGAAAATGATGATTGAAATCAAGCAAAATAAAACAATAAAATTGTTTATTCATTTATTTAGACTTTTAATTTTAGCCGTTTATTTGCTTAGTTCTTTATTTGTATTTGTTATTTAGGCAAAATAGAAATTAAATAAATAAATGGTCAAAATTACATTTCTATAGTATTACATAAGTATTCAATTATAAAATAAATAAATAAATAAATAGTGTCGGCGCCTATAGCCTTGTGGGCTTTAATTTAATTTTACATTTTTTATTTAGAATATTTGCTTAATTTTGACCATTTATTTAATCATTTAATTTATTTAGTAATTTAATTTCAATTTATTTATTTATCAATTTACAATAAATAGTATAGAATTTAATTTTCAGCCAATTATTGGGAATCAGTCATAATATAATTTGCATTTAAAAAAAAAAATAAAAAATTGCATTGATATACATAGACCAGAATATTATAGAAACCTGTGGATGGGCTCTTTTGACTTAACAATAATGCTAAACAACCACCAACAACTCTGGGGCATAATGACAGCTAGTTTTTCATGAGCATCACTCACTTCCTCAGAAAACGGCAAAGTCTAGTTCATTTTTCGAAGTGTCATCGCTCCAGTTCAGAAGTGTCTGGATACATAATGATTTCCATTCTCGACTGATGTCTGATGGAACTGGTCGTCATCAAGGTCGTTTGTTGGTCTGAATATCGATGTTGCGCAGATTTTGATGCTAGAATGTGGCGTTCTGCAGAGGAAAGCAGATTTGCTGACGAGACTGTGAATAATGATGCTGCAGTGTTGAGGAGAAAAAAAGAGCCCTGCCATGCTTTACTTACATCTCTCTCTGTTTTTCTGTAGGGAGACGCCGGTGAACTAGGAGAACCAGGCCCACAGGGAGACGTCGGCCCTCCAGTATGGCAAAAAAACCAAACTCACATATGCAAAACTCTCAAAATAACACACTCATATCTAATATCTCGTGTGTGTGTTTTAGGGTCCAAGAGGAGAGCGAGGAGAAAAGGGAGAAGCCGGACCCGCTGGTTCTGCTGGGCCCCCCGGACCAAAAGGACCACCAGGAGATGATGGTCCTAAAGGAAGCCCTGTATGTTCTTATCATTAATGCTTTATTTGGTGTTTGAAAAATACACTCTTAAAAAAATCAAGCTTTTTTGCAACAATGCAATAGAAGAACCATATTTAACCGGCAAAGGTAGTAACCTTTCAGTGATCTTTGCCAACATCTAATGCGCACTCAAAGTTAATCTTTACAAACACTAATAATTTGATAACACTGTTAAATGTAATATTTGGCAAACCTCATAGTTAACATTTCATACTGTACCATACTGTTACGGGGCTGACGAGACGTGAGACGTGCGGATCCATTTGCAGAGCTTTATTGTGGAGAAGACAGAGACGTGGGTCAATGAAATTGGAAGTTCATGGACCGGATTCGTGACACATACATTATAATGTTACGAATTGTTTTATGTATTTATTTTGCTATTTTTTTAATTAGCAGAATATAGAATAAACACTGCATTATATCCAACAATATACAGTATACTGTATTAAAATGTATGCTTTTTTATTTTTATTTAAATATTAAACAAAAGTTTAAATAAAGCTTGAAATGTTTAAAAACCAAATGTATTTATATTGTTTTTTTTTTTTACATCAGTGCAAAAATAAAGTTCAAACTAAAATATGAATAAGAAATTAAGATATACTTGAATGTTTTCTAAAACCTTTATTTTTGAGAGTGTATTATAGGTTCTGCATGCTAATTGGTCAATAAGCATAGCTTGTCGTACCTTACTCTGTATGCTTATGAGACCTTGCAGTTACCATGTTTCTGATCAAATATAAAAATGTTAAAATATTTGGTTTGGTTTTCAGGGTCCAAGTGGTTTCCCTGGTGATCCTGGTCCTCCTGGAGAGCCTGGTCCACATGTAAGTACTATTCATGCAAACTGTAGTTATTACAGAGACATTTTCAGGTTGTTTCGGGAAGTGACATTCTTTTTCTTGCCCTACAGGGTTTGGATGGTGCTCCTGGAGATAAGGGTGATGATGGAGAGCCTGGTCAGGCGGTGAGTATGATTTAAACACTATCATTTGACATCTCTGGTCTCGGCTGCATGCAAAAGGGTTTTATAATGTTTGCTGCTTTTATAATGTTGTTTCTTTCAGGGATCCCCTGGACCTACTGGTGAAACTGGCCCCACTGGACCTCCAGGAAAGAGAGTGAGTAATGCTTATAAACATACTTTTTATTAAAAATATTTATAAAAAATATTGCTGACTGTTCATTAACATTAATAATTTTAAAGTAAATATACCCATATACAGTATGGCTCTCAATTTTCATTCTTTCTCTTTAGGGACCTCATGGACCTGCTGGACCTGAAGGAAGACAGGGAGAGAAGGGTGCCAAGGTAACATGCAAATGTTCACACAGTCGTACACATGTTCATTAACTATACAGTACAGCTATAAATTCATTACGGCAGTGGTTTCAGTGGTTGTGTCTCTGAATCAGGGCGAGTCTGGTCTCCTGGGTCCACCTGGTAAGACAGGTCCAGTTGGTCCTCAGGGAAGCCCTGGAAAGCCCGGTCCTGAGGGTCTGAGAGGTGTGCCTGGACCAGTGGTGAGTGTTGATGGAGCAGCCTGACAGCCTTATACAGCTCATTATGTCCTAATGTCACATTATATGCCAAATGTATTTGACAGTCTCACAAAGCCTGTATATAACCTACCCGGGTCATATTTCACTACAGAATAAAAAAAAATCTAAATATATGTTATATAGAATTTGGAGCCAAAAATTTAAGATTAGTAATTTTAAGATTTAAAAAAACGTTCTTACTATATGTATGTTTCACTTCTGTTCAGGGTCCTCCTGGTCCTAAAGGTGCTAAAGGATCATCTGTAAGTTCATGTTCTTATTTAATTATTCTTGTTAATTTAATTAGCATTTTAATTAGCAGATTCATTTATCATTTTTTAAATTAGCTCTGATTTGCCTGAGCCTGCTTCTGGTTCTGTCTTTATAGGGTCAGACTGGACCGAAGGGAGAAGCTGGAGTGCCAGGATCTCCTGGACCTCCAGTATGTAACTACACTAAACCGAACTATAAAACAAACCAAAACTCCACACACAAACGAGTTATTCCTCTGTGAGATAAGCGCATATTTAAACAGATGATACTGCAGTAGATGTTACGTAAGTGTAATTGAGCTCTATTATGTGGTGTAAAGCAAATCTGTTACAGTAAGGTTCCTCTGAGAGCTCCAGTGGATTTTGCTTCCTTGAGAAACCCTGATATTTCACACCTACAGACTGTGTCGGTTGCTGTTTCCACACCGAGTTACTCAGCCTTAGGACACAGAGAGAAATGCAAGTGTTTAGTTAATGTCAGTGTAAAGGTCTAATTGTTTAGATGGATAATCCTAGATATGGTTATTTTTCAGGTCTATTACAGTAGTTTTTATTACAGAGCTTTTTTATGCCACTTTTATTTATAGAGTGAGACTTAGAACTGGAAACAATTAGAAGCATTGAGAATGTAGTGCCCTAACAACCACTCACAACACCCTAGCAACCACTTGAAAATCATAGTAATTGTCAGAATTTTGTACGGCCAAGCAACACTCAAAAATTCCAACAATGTAGTGACTCCCTAGCAACACTCTAAAAAAAACCTAAACCCTAACAGCCACTCAAATTATCTTAGCAACTGCCTAAAAACCACCCAGAACATACTATCAACACATTAGCAACCTCCTAAAAAAACTCAAACAGCCATTCAGAACACCTTAGCAACTGCTTATCAGCACACTATTATTCCTAGTGGGCTACACTCACATTTTCCAGTTATACAGTAACAACCTAGCAACTGCCTAACAACACCTTAACAACCACCCATAACATCCTATCAACACCCTAGCAACCACTTAAAAACCAACAGCCACTCAGAACACCTTAGCAACTGCTTAACAACACCCTAACAACCACACAAAACATCCTATCTACACCCTAGCATCTACCTAAAAACCCCAACAGCCAATTAGAACACCTTAGCAACTGCTTAACAACACCCTAGTAACCACCCAAATGTTGTGACATAGTTTGCATGGCAAAGCTGCACTCCAATTTTTTAGTTTTCCAATTATTTATTAACAGCCTAGCAACAGCCTAACAGCCACCTAAAACATCCTATTGACACCCTAGCAACCACCTAAAAAAAACAAACAGCTATTTAGAACATCTTAGCAACTGCCTAACAACACCCTAGTAACCACCCAAATGTCGTGACAGAGGTTGCATGGCCAAGCTGCACTCCAATTTTTTAGTAACAGCCTAGCAACCTCCTTACAACACCTTAGCAACCACCCAGAAAACATTAGAGTCACTCAGAACACCTTAGCAACTGCTTAACAACACTCTAACAACCACCCAAACGTTTTGATGGTGAATTTTGCATAAGCGAGCAGGACTAACATGTGCTCTAAATAACGCACATTATGTGAATATTAACGGTTGTTTTCTCGTCTAGGGTCCACCTGGTGATGTCATCCACCCTCTGCCCATGCAGTCCAGCCCCAAACGGGCAAAGAGGAACATTGACGCCAGCCAGATGATGGATGACGCTGCAGATGCCAACTACAAAGACTATGAGGACGGCATGGAGGAGATATTTGGCTCTCTGAACTCGCTCAAACTAGAGATTGAACAGATGAAACACCCGCTGGGCACACAGAGTAACCCCGCCCGCACCTGCAAAGACCTGCAGCTGTGCCACCCAGATTTCCCAGATGGTGTGTATCTCTCGCGCACACACACACACATTTTCAAGTGTGTTAATGATTGTTTTAAACAAAGCATCAGGAAAAACAACAATAACAGAGAGACAGAGGGTGCCCATGATGCTAATGAAAATAACATAAAGAGAAAATGTGAACCACCCACAATACCCTAGTTACAGCCTATCAAATAACTAGAACACATTAGTAACCAAACCACATCCTAACAACCACTATGACATTAAGGTCATGCATTGTGCATGGCCAAGCACTACTCATGTTTTCCAATAGCGGCTTAGCAACCTTCTTTAAACCATCTAGAACATTCTTGTAGCCCCTCAGAACACAGTTAGCAACTGCCTAACAACACCCTAGTAACCATCCAAACATTTAGGTGGCAAGTTTTGCAGTTTACAGTAGTAATGGCCTGGCAACCACTTTGCAACACTCTAGCAACTATTCAAAATGTTCACGCAAAGTCGTGATGCAAATAAAAATAAAATAAAATAAACCTAGCAATATAGATGTAATAACAAAATGTAATACATTTAAAACAATGCATTTAATTAAAATTAAGGATACAAAGCAGCAGAAAATTTTCGGTAAATTTGCAAGTTTCCAAAAATGTTCTAAAAAAAGTTTCAAACAAATTCTCAAAAGTTTACAAAAATTCTGTAATGCCATACTTTTTCTGCCTCTTTGCAACCCTAATTAAGAGTTGTCTAAGAATTATCTTCATTTGAAGGCTTTAATTGAATGCATAGTGACATACACAATTAATTACAATGAATGATTAAGTGCCAAATCGCATAATTAAAATAATCAGATTTTCAGCCCTGTATTAAATGATTCTCGTTTGAAAATATCAGCAATACATAAAGCTTACGATGGCCCTTGTTTCTATTTTCAGGTGAATACTGGATTGATCCGAACCAGGGCTGCTCCAGAGACTCTTTCAAAGTGTACTGTAACTTCACAGCAGGTGGAGAGAGCTGCATCTTCCCCGATAAAAAGAGTGAAGGGGTAAGAAAAGTTCTCCTGACAGCCACAAAGCAGAACACTCTGGGACGGCTTCCCACAAGTCCACATCAGGAGTAAAACAGCTTTGATGTCAGAATCACTGCGCACAACACCACTTTAAAAAGCATCACTTATCAAAATTAAGACAAACACACACTAGATTCATCTCACAGTATTCTACGGATTCCTGAAAAACCTTCAGAGAGAAGTTGTTCAGCTTAACATGCAAAGAGGAATAGAGGTACAGTCTGTTCTATAGGTCACATCTGATTTAGAGGGTTTTTCCACTGAAAATCTATGGGAAGACATACCCTGCACATCACAATGACATTGAACGACCTGTACTTTCTTTCACATCAACCTGAATGAGGTCTATACCAGCTATTCAACTGTTCAAAAGCACCATTTCTGAATATAATGAGGGTTCTTGTATCCTAGTCTTTAATGATGTTTGTGTATTAGATTCTGCACACAAGTGGGACGAGTTATTTGCCTTAATGAGTCTCAGAAGCATCACTGATGGAGAATCACTCAGTGGGGTGTGAAGGTGACTCTCGGCACTAAATTCAGTTCTTCCACAGGTTCACTCTTCACACGAGCAGATGCAGACAACAACAAACAAAAAAAACCTCCTCAGGCTTATTCTCACCTCGCACAAATATTTACCAGGGCAAGCTTTAAATTCAAACCAACTCTTGCATCCCGTCGGACTGCTCCGGATGCAAAAAAATAACTCGAAAATGTTTTTTGTTGGTCAAATATGTTTTGTTGACTCACGATGAAAGCAAGATCTTTATTATAAAACCTGAAATATTGAATTATATTACTATTATATCATTACTTTTTTATTATTATTATAGGCATTTTTAAAACTACTTTTTAGGTTTTCAAGTGGCACTTTTGTAGTTCGCACAAAAACATTTATTATGTGAAAATGATACTATTAATTTTATATAAATTTTGTAAACCTTTTTAGAATATATAGGGACTTAGTACAAAAAAAACTATTAAATATTATTATATATTTAATTAAAATTAAATTGGATTATTGTTATAAATTGTATAATAGTTGTGTAAAGCTCACTTTCATTGTATTTTGTTAATTGTAGGGCTGTAGGTTTAATCTGTTCATTTATGACGTCCATTTGTATGTACACAGCTATTCAAACATTGTGCAAACTGTCTGCAAGAACATGTCCTGTGTGAAAGCCTCTGCCTTGGACAGATTGACAACTACACTGCAAAACAGATCAAAATAATTCCCACAGGCTACCTGTTACTTCCTGTCTGTCTGTCTGCAGTATTGACTCTAGCTGACTCTCTCTCTCTCAGGCCAGACTCACCTCTTGGGTGAAGGAGAATCCAGGATCGTGGTTCAGTGAATTCAAACGTGGTAAACTGGTAAGAGTGACTCCTCTTTCTTGTCCTCCTGAAATAGTCTTCTATTTTACAGAGCAAAATGGCTCGCTGGCCCAAAGACAGTCCAGGCACATGGTATAGTCGCTACAAGAGAGGGTCCATGGTAAGTAGGAATGCATGAGAGAACGGGCCAGTACCGAGGGTCCGCGGATCCTCAGTGTTTCCGGACAATCGGTCTCTAAGAGGTCCGTGCTTCTGCATGCTTCTCGGATCCCTTCGTGGCCGAGCATGGTCATCATCAGAACAGCAGCAAAAAGTGTTTGCTCAGACTTCTGGGTAATCTGAGGACTGTGGGCGGAGATGTCAGTCAGTCTGTTGCAATAGCAAAAAGACTCGAGAATGTGATTGACATAAACCCGACTTACCCTAGAATTTGTAGATTTGTTAATGTGAAAGGTCTGACTGATGGAATCCAACCCGTCTTCTGTTCCTGTAAGCTTGAGGAAATCACCTTGAAGTGACTGAGTCAGCTAACACATGATTGCCGCTCTGCTCCAAATGCTAGAGAGATGCAAAAGGTGTATCAAACAGCTTCCATTTAAGATACCTTGTTATAGAACTGCATGCATCTTTTGCATCAAAGACAATCGCATTGTGATGAGCTTAGTGAAAAGCTGTGTATAGATGGGTTTTTTTGCCGTATTAAAAAGGTTTAATAGAAAATAGTTCAATCTTAAAAACAGACTTTTTAACAATGCATGTAGATTATCAAGTCAAGAACATGCTAACATCAAACTGTATTGGAATCAACGGTAACAATGAAGTTCAAGTTAGTAAATGTACTTTTTATATAAAAAAAGAAGTAAAAACCCAACATTTAGTCAACATTAACATTTTAATTGGACTAAGTTTCAATATAAAGCAAAAATCATGTATGAGAGACAACAAAACAATAAAAGTAATTTTAAGATAAACTTACATGAAAACGTAGGAACTGAATGAATTCATTGAAAATTATTAACTCAATATATTGTGAAAATCTATGTTGTATTTAACATAATACTTAACCATAAAATATTAATCAATTTATTTTTTAAGAGCAACCTTATTTATGATGGAAACAGACAGTACAAAAAGTCCTTGAGTCCTGCTTCATTATTATTTTTTACATTTTATTTAAATTCGGGCTAATGAAGATCATTTCAAATCAGTCACTATGAGGCAGTGTTAAGTATTTAATTGATACACTATTATAATTTTTGTTAATATTTTGAATTAATAATTTTTTTTTACATAAAATGTTTATATATATATAAAGTAAAAACAATATATGAAAACACAAATTACTAAAACTTTAAAATTCGTTTTTATAGATTTATTTTATGTTTTAGTTTTATTTATTTTATCAAGGTAAATAAATGAAAATGAGAAAATGTTGGCAACTTGCTGAAGTAAGTTTTCATATGCATACATATAGTTTTATTTAACTGTTATAAATTTAACATAAGCTGCCTTAGAAGATAGACAGTAGACATTCACAAGTGTTTGGAACAGAGCCTTTGTGTCCATGGCAGATCTCAGTCACTGAGCTTTGGGTTCAGTCTCTCTTGACATTCAGCTGTGATCATGAGGTAACGTGGTAATGGGCAGGTGTTCATGGTGGGTTGCATGCATGCAAAGTCAATGCATATGAGTGTGTGAGAGGACCTCCTAAATCGTAAGTATATAATGATGTGTGTGTGTCTGTGCATGGAGCATGCGCTCGCTCTCTCAGTCAGTCACATGTGTGAGTGTTTGTGGATCAGAGGAGATGGAGTTTTCTTCTAAACATGGGTTGGTATATTCAAGAATGAAAACAAAACATTTGCATATTTCCGTAATGCAAATGTTGCATCACACCACAAGGGGAGAATTTGCATATAAACCAGTACAACTCATTTGAATATATTAGTGATATTTTTCAGTGGAGTCTGTAACAAAATGAGTTTATCTTCCATGTTTGAATGTGTAAATGAATTTTGGTGTTTAATACATGCAGAGAGCTTATCTGTACTGGGAAAAGAGTTTCCTGCTCTTGCCTGACTGATGAAACAAGAGTGTTTAGACACGATAGACACAGATCAGTTTTAACCACATATAAACTTGAATGAGGTGATTTTTCATTCTTTTTTTGTTTGTTTTGTTTTAGCAAAGATGCATTTATTTGATCAGAAGTGACAGTAAAGACATTTATAATGTTGCAAAAAATGTATTACATATAAATGTTGTTCTTTTGAACTTAATATTAAAAATGATCACGGTTTTCACTAAATACGAAGCAGCACAACTGTTTTCAACATTGAAAATAATGTTTCTTGAGCAGCGAATCATATTAGAATGATTTCTGAAGGATCATGTGACACTGAAGACTGGAGTAATGATGCTAAAAATTCAGCTTTGATCACAGAAATAAATTACATTTTAAAATACAATCAAATAGAAAACAGTTATTTGAAATTGTAATAATATTTAACAATATTGCTGTTTTTACTGGATTTTTGATCAAATAAATGCAAACTTTTGAACGGTACTGTAAATACATAATTGTTATATCTAAGTATTTATTCAAAAAGATTGACAATGGTTTCTGACAAATAATTGACAACTAAAACACCGCAAAAATAATTTTTTTAAGTTTTGTTTTTCAGTAAAAAAAAATAGTTTAAAAATGTAAACAAAATAAACTTAAGAAGAAGAATATAAGTTCAGTCTGGTTTTGAGGTAATATATCTTATTTCAGTAACACTTGATTATTTTATTTTTATTATTATTTTCTAACACTTCCTCTTTTTTTGCCACTGTAGAGTTTTGAACCCAAATCTAAAACAATAGTGATCAAAGTAGCGTAGGATCGGAGGGGTGTGATGTGTAGTTTTCGGCAGAACCTCCAGGGGGTGTTTGTCCGGCCGTTATCTTTACCGCACCGCTGTCTGATTGTCTGCGCAGCTCTCATACGTGGATGTGGAGGGCAATCCGATCGGAGTGGTCCAGATGACGTTCCTGCGTTTACTCAGTGCCACGGCTCGGCAGAACCTGACATACAACTGTTACCAGTCGGTGGCTTGGCACAACCAGGACCTGGACTCTTACGATAAAGCCATCCGCTTCCTGGGTTCCAACGATGAGGAGATGTCTTACGATAACAACCCGTACATCAGAGCCGCCGTCGACGGATGTGCGGTAAGAGCCGGAAATACTTGCTGATTTCAGAACTGCATACTAACTTACTATTTCACCCATAAAAATACATCGTAATATTATGCGGTTCTGAATTGTGAAGTCGTTTTTAGCAAGTTTAAACTGAAAACTCTCACAAGCGATGTTCATAACGCTTCCTTTCTTTCCTCCCGCAGTTGAAAAAGGGTTATGAAAAGACTATTCTTGAGATCAACACACCGAAAGTGGAGCAGGTACCATTTGTTGACATTATGTTCAACGATTTCGGCGGAGCGACGCAGAAGTTCGGCTTTGAGGTCGGACCGGCCTGCTTCATCGGCTAAGACTGCTCAGCGAGCACACGCGAACAAAACATATTCATTTTCTCCGAAAACAAAACACGAGAAAGAAATAGGACGACTTATTTGTAAAGTTTTGTGTTTCCAAACAAACCCAACAGATACCAAAGTAAGGATAAAAGAAATTTGAAGAAAGAATGGATGTCCAAACAATGGGTTCTTATAACAGAGCAACCTTTTTAACCTCAGTGTACCCTCTGCATCACATGCAAGTTTTGAAACTGGATGAGGTCATCACTCATGACTCTCCCAGGCCCGCCCACTTTACACTCATCCGACTCTTCGCCCCTCCCACAGGCTGTATAGACGGATTAGATCCATCCTTTTATTTCCCTCCTGTTCTTGGACTTGTAGCTCTATGCACATATGAGAAATCTTTTCCATTGGTTTGTTTGCTTGGGTTTTATGTTGTTCCTCTTTCCACTTCTAAGCTTTGTTTTTTGTGCATACTTGTCTTCCATTCCCTGGAATGGTGATTATATATATAAATATATATAAATATTTTTTTCTATGTTTGTAAGTACTTTCTGTATATTTTTTTTTTCCGGTGAAGTGTTTTTTTTTTGGTTCTGGCTTCAAAACATGCATGTGAACCCATTGAGCGATAAGGACAGAGCTGCTGGTTATTGGAAAAAAACGCTTTTTAAAAAATAAAATATACCCCCAATAAAACAGCCTGAGGAAATTTTCAGTGAATCTGAAGCAGAGAAAATGATTAAAATACGACAAAAAAAGCAACTGCAACAGCAACAAAGTCTTATTCCAGATGTGAACAATGTCTTTTTGTAATTTAAACAACAAAATTACAATAAAAGTAAGAAACAGCCGTAATGTGAGCATTAATTTGCTACCTGTCATGTTGAAGTGGCTTCCGTGGGTCTGTGAGATCGCGACCCGCCTGTATGAGGGGAATCTTTGATCTGACGTTCACGAATCGGTGCTTCCCTGTATCAGAAGAGCACACCATCACACTGAGGAAACACAATATCGGTGAACTAGGTGCTATGTGGTGCTAAAAATATATACCTTTTTTCCTGTACTTGTTTGTTGTAATTGAAAACGGCTCTGCGGTGATACCCAAGCGGTTCCACGTCTTCTGTCAAAGTCCTAGCTTTGCTTCCCGAGGTGGGGAAGTATTTGTATGCATGCCGTAAAATCATATTCATTTATAGATGAGAACACCTTTTTCTTCTGTTATCATTCCTCACCACGTTTGACAAATGTCCAGATTGTTATATGGAGATCATTTATGGTCCTCCAAAGGCTTTAGCTCACACTTTACATTACAACGTTCGCGTCACAGTCTATTCACTCGATCTGAAATGGTTAAACGGAGCACAGTTACTGTTAATGCTGTTGTGATTGAGGTATCACGTGTAACATGGACCCTGTAATGTAAAGTGTTACTCTAGCTAACAGAAGCGATGGAACTGAAATGCCTTTTAACACACAATTAGCTTGGGACCTTTTCGTTAGATCTTTCTGGAGGGTCCTGTGAATATTTTAACCAAAATGCTTAGAGGAATGAATAGTTAACTTGACTGCCGATTTCAGCTTTCCTTCCAAAGAGATTTCTCTTAATTTAAGAGACTTGAAGACCAAGAATCAGATTGTCTTGTGTGATTATTCACGTTTGTTGTACATTACAAAGTTTCGCTAGCATATATTCCTTCACCTGCCAGAATTGGTTGTCATTGACTAGAGCCATCTTGTTATTCATCTATCACACCTTTTGCCACTAGACATTTTCCTGCACTCTTTTGTTCTGCTTTTTGACCACTAGATCTGCTACTGCAAAATCTTGCTCTAATTTTTTAAATATGACTTGAACTGGTTCTTTTAAGAGGATAAAACACGGAATATGCAGTTTTGACACAATTTTATCAGTACGAAACACATTTCAACCGATTCTTCTGTAAATGTCAAAACCAGCAGTAATGCTGCCAATAAAGTTTACTCTGTTTTTTTTTGTTTTTGTAATGTTTGTTTGTTTTTGCGGTCGTGTCAAACCTGTGTACGAGAAGATAGAAGAGATATTGGTTTTGTGTCAATAAATTCAGGTTCACTGTGTCCACCCACCCTTGTATGTCTTTTGAAGCATTAAAACTTTCCTGTATGCATGAAAATGTTAAGCTTTCTCTTCATGTTTCTTCCCACAGCCACATTTCTTTTTTTTATCAGCCGTATGATACATCCTCTCAGTGCTCCGATGAAAACAGGCCTGTCCTTCATTGTGAAATGGAGAGAGAGCGATGTTTGTTGTAACTCTCTACCAAAGCCCATGTTCCTTTGTAGTATATTTATTGTATTATTTAAAAATAATAAATGTTAATTGATACCAGTAGTGTTCTTGATATCTGATAAATATATATCTGATATCAGATATACATCTTTATATCTGATAACTGTTATCACTGTGATACATTATGTAGAGTTGCAGAAGAGGAGACGCATGGACATGTGAAATACGCAAGTGAAATGAATTTTTAAAGAGGTCATATGATGCGATTTCAATTGTTCCTTTCTCTTTGGAGTGTTGCAAGCTCTTGGTGTATAAAGAAGATCTGTAAAGTTGCAAAGACTAAAGTCTCAAATCCAAAGAGATATTCTTTTTAAAAGTTATGAGTTAACCACACCTACCTTAAACGGATCGTTCTAACACGCCCCCACATGTCTACCTCACTATGTGGGAAGATTTGCATAACGCCTCCCAAATGTTCACGCAAAGAAAGAATGCGTAACTTTTATTCTCGCTGTAGTATTGTTGCCGCCGCCGCCACCATGTCGTGAAGGCGCTGTGTGATTCGTTGTGAAAGCGAAACTACTTTGTTTGGTCTTCCAAAAGAGGACGATATCTGCTTCGTCATGCCTGGAGCTGATCCGTGCTGGTCGCTGAGGAAATACTACAACTTTGCGCTGTGGATCACCGGATCGGCTTTCACCGTGGACGAAGCAGAGTCCAGCCCGGGGTCGTCACATGTGGTTGCCGCAAGCCCGCCAGACGCTCCTTCGTCGAATCCGCCGGCCGTGCCGTTCTCAAGCCCACCTGCCTCTGCTCACCGTATAAGTCATTATAATCCATAATTATGTCTTCACTGGATGCTACAAATGCCTCGTTTATAATGGCTTTTAATGTTTATGTCTCGTCGCTCCGGGCCGGACAGTGCATCACAATATGGTAAGGGGCGTAACATTTCTGTCACACGCTTGAGGTATTCAGCCAATCACAACGCACTGGATAGCTGGCCAATCAGAGCACACCTCGCTTTTCAGAACGATGAGCTTTGTAAAAATAGACGCATTTCAGAAAGGCGGGGCATAGCGAAGAAACAATAATGTACAGTATCTGGAAAATAATGTGTTTTTTGAACCTTAAACCGCATAAACACATTTCATTACACCAAATACACAAAATAATGTTATTTTTAGCAACATCATATGACCCCATTAAGGCTATCACTGGTTATCTGGAACAAAGACTGAAAAACCTTTTCTTATAGTGTTAGACGCATATTTAAACAAACCTAAAGTGACTTACTTTAAGCTGGAATGATCCTTGTATGATATTATTTTGGGGAGTATTTTGACATGAACAAACCTGATGAACGTTCTGTAGCACGACTTGAGATGATCTAGTGAGGATCTTGTGCTTCAATGGAACAAGAACATCTGACCGCCTGTACAAAAAACTTGATTAGTCACACAGAAACACTTATTTTATATCTTAGTTTTATATTATAAAACAATCTTCTCAGAGTTTTGGACACCACCATTGAAGAATAATCCAAGGATGTAGCTGTGATACATCTAAATATTTTAATTCAGGTTAATTGGGACAGTTTTCCCAGTCATCTCAAATGTACAATTTACCTGAATTCACCAAACATTTTTCAGAAATATTTCTTAAAATGGCACAACCCTAAAATTGCACTTTGGAATCTAGACAATGAAGCAGCTTAAAAACATATTTTTTTAATCTATTTTTTTTAAAAACTTCTATTGTTATAAAACGAGCAGAAAATAAGAATGAGCAAGTGTGTCCAAACATTTGACTGGTAGTACAGCTTGTCCAACCAAAGTACAACTTGCTCTAACTTCAGTCTATGTCTGAAAAAAAAATATTTTGTACAGTTTTTTCTTATTTGCCCAATATTAAAAATAAATCGAATCAAGATCTTTCTCTATAACTGAAGGTGGTAAAGTGCACTCAGAGAGCTGTATTAACCCAGAGCTCAGTGACTGGAGTCTTTTTCTCAAGAGCCCCGGCCGTGTCAATGGCCTAGATCCATCTCAAACAGCCCCGACTGCAGGACGGGGCACTGGAGCAGGGAATATTAACATATCCGGCAGTCAGCCCATCTCAGCTGTGAGAGACCACAGTCACACAGCTCGCTGTTACTGATCCAAGCAGTTTAACATAGTAAAGAAGAAAACTTCATCTAATTCCTCTTATTGCTGACAACTCTTGTTCATTCAGTTTTGTCTTTAATGAAAATGCCCAAGGTGTTATTGTTGGGTTATAAAATTCATACTCTTGCAATATTTACTCAAATGCAGATTCATAGTTTGCACAGTTTTGCTCTAAAATATCAAACAACTGAAGTTAAAAGTGAGCCAACCAGAAATAAACGACACTGACCATTCAAATTACATCAACAAAACCAGCACAGAACTAACAGCAAAGGCTGCTATTATTAATTCCTCATTTATGCAAACTACTCTCATTATATCCTATACCCAAATCAGTGGATATGTTCAAATAAGAATGCTTTCATATTACTCTTTGTGTGTTAGTAACCTTATTTTAAATAAGTCTACCATTTTGAGTCGAAAGTGGTGCTTTGTTAAAACAAAGTCTTCGCTTCCAAAACTGCTGAAACTGACAAAGTACTGTTTCAAAGGCAGAAAGACGTGAATAAAACGACTCTTAATCAATGTCACATGACAATTTTTACCTGAGGAAAGTCGAGGAGGGTCTGGCTGCAGACTTGCACTCTCAGACTTGCACTCTCAGACACTTGCGCTTCCGCTAGTGACGTCACTTGCAGTCTTTATTTTTTATTTTGTTCTATTTTTTATTACTTTTTGTTTGAATCTCTCAACATTTTACAACAGTAGCCAGGTGGTGAAGACAAGAAAAAATTTATTAAATTACAATGTCACTTGCACTCTCCGCTACCTGCGACATCACTTGCAATCGACACAAATCGTGTGTGTTGCCAATGGAGACAAGACGCTGTGGTGGTGATTAAACGATTAAAACTAATTTAGTACTATAACATACAGGGTCCTGCAAGAAAAAGACAAGACCCGCAAATCCGTGGCTACAGAACAGCAGAATATGAACGCAATGCACAAAGTCTCTCGTTAACACTTAACATGGCTTAATGTTACGATGCTATTAAAATATCAAATTAAATATACAGTTTATTAATATAATCAATATGTATATAGTATTTTCCTCCCATACTGCAAAACGTGGCATGATGTTGCATAATGGACTAAAAAGTCCAAACTCAGTATGCTCCTCTACATTATAAATATACATATCTAATATTTACAGGCAAGCAGGTGAGCCCAGAATAAACGCAACATGCACAGTTTCGTGTTAAGTGTTTTTCCATATAGAATAAACGGTCTACAGCTCTTTTATATCATTGTCTTTGTCCATTAAGCTACATTACGTGTTTTATTTATAATGATTTTCTATGGGAGGAAAATTTTTAACGTGCAATTTAATGCATTGCGTTCTGGGCCCGTCTGCTTTCCTGTACGGAGTTGATCCTTTTAAAATCACTTAATGCATTTCATAATGCACGTTCATATTTGTTGGTCTGTATATACTTTGAGTCAACAACAAGACATAGGCTACTGAATTGTCGTTATCATCCGTTATTATGCCACATTAAGCGGTTTGCTGTATGGGAGGACAAGTGAAAGTTTGCGCATTGTGTTCATAGCCATCTGCTTGCCTTGTAGTACATTAAATAATAACTATATATCTAATTTGATCTTTTAATTGCACTTAATGTATCTTAATACATTAAGCCATGTTAAGTGTTTATGTTTTTCTACAGGAGGAAAACGCTTAACGAGAGACTTTGTGCATTGCGTTCATATTCTGCTGTTCTGTGGTCTTGTCTTTTTCTTGCAGGACCCTGTACATTACAGTATAAAATTAGTTTTAATCGTTTAATCACCACCACAGCGTCTTGTCTCCATTGGCAACACACACGATTTGTGTCGATAGCAAGTGATGTCGCAGGTAGCGGAGAGTGCAAGTGAAGATTGCAAGTGACATTGTAATTTAGTTTCTTTTTTTCTTGTCTTCACCACCTGGCTACTGTTGTAAAATGTTGAGAGATTCAAACTAAACGTAATCAATAAATAGAACAAAATAAAAACGACTGCAAGTGACGTCACTAGCGGAAGCGCAAGTGTCTGAGAGTGCAAGTCTGAGAGTGCAAGTCTGCAGCCAGACCCTTTTTGGAAAGTCATTCAGAGTCCATTTCTCATCAGTTCGCTAGAAAACGAAATTTAGTTAAGGCATTTTACACAAAATAGATTAAAATACAAGATAAACACTGGTGGATAACTGAATTACTGTAAACATGCAAAGTAATGAGGTCATTCAAAAACAGCATATTATTGATTGAGATGTTTATTGCTGAATACAGTTTCATATATTACATAATGATAGTTATTAAAAAATAGTAGACAGTAGTATAAAATAAACAGTATGCCAGTGTTAATTCTGAACGTACTCCATTTTTATTTTAGCTCCTTCTGAAATACTGTATTCTTGAAATTGATAGACGGATCTAAGCAGAGAGGACGTCATGAAGGACAGCTACAGAAATAAAGGTTCCTATAATTTATGTACAGCATGAATGAAAGAATAAAGCTGTAACGGCGAGCATGGCCTTCAGGAGTGTTTGAGATGAAGGCGCACTGCGAGGACACTGGGGTGCGATCACTCTAACTGAGAAACAGGAAAGCTTTGAAATGGAAAGTGCACATCTGTGGAAGTGAATTGAAGGAATGTGTTTCACATTAAGAGAAGCCAGAGAACATTTCTCTATCACAGCCTGTGGAAGGAGGGATGAACTCACAGAAGAGAGAGAGCGAGAGAGATGCAGGAGGAGAGACGCGTCTGATGTGTAAATTTATCAGTCTCTGTGTGATGTTCATCTCTGGAGACTCAGGGACTCATTTACAATCAAACCACACACATTTAAGCTCATCCATCCATCCATCTATCTATCTATCTATCTATCTATCTATCTATCTATCTATCTATCTATCTATCTATCTATCTATCTATCATCAGTAGATTGT